CCCCCCCCCCCCCCCGGCACTGCAACGTTGCGCCAACCCCCCGCGAGCGATGGCGAGCATTTGCTAGTTCAGATGGCCCGCTGTTTGTTCTACTTTTTGTTGTTGGTTTCTGTATGTTTGTCGCTACGGCGTGTGTCTTTCTCGTTGTCTTTCCCATCTCTCCATCTGCTCTCTTCTTTTTCTTCGCCTTTTCTCTTTCTTTTCCTTTCTTTTTACAATGTAGTGTCACCTAACATACCGTGTAGCGGAGCGACCTAGCTTATCTGTCGTTGACGTGTATCGGATTGCGGACGCTTCGGGCCAATTCTGTTTTCGCATGCCTTTTTTTGGGGAAGTTGGCCTTTGACCGCGGGAATCGACCCCGTCAAGTGATAGACTAGTACGGGGCAGAGAGAACTGGACGATTTTCAAAGTGACTAGACTTCAACAACAAACAATTCCTATTCTTACTGGTGCAGTACATTGTGCATATGAAAAAAAAAAAAATGATCCGGCGCACGAGTGGGCAGCCGTCGTTCGACAGACGAAGCCTGATCGCTACGCTATGCCCTTTGTGTGTGAGCCATGGCATCTGATTCACTCCGACCGGAAGGGTTGATGGCAGGAACTGTGTACACTGGCCCGAAGTGTCGCGTCTAAAAAGCCGGTCATGCGCGTCTGCCCAAAGACGCAACCGCCCGGTAGCACACACATGCGTATGTACGTAAATCTATGAACAGCCTGCACGATCTCCCGTTTGTTTGTGGCAAGCCCATGACGAACTAATACTGGACCCAAACTAGAGGAAGTGACATCACGAAAGCTTTCGAATTTAGCGTGATTGTTTCGATCACAACACAGTGTCTACCGATGCGGCAGCAGCGACAGCAAGCACCGTATCGAAATAGGCGGGTGAGCGCAAGGTCCTACTACAGCAGTAGTCACGATGGCGAAAAAACAGAACACCCCGCGACACATGCCCCCCCGATAGCCACGACACGCAATCTCCTACTGAGTCGTGGTATCGTGCTCGGGAGTGGCGCGGCGATTCGAACCTTCATCGTCCACAGAGGCATACAGGTTACTTCTTGCAGATTTAGTCGGGCTTCATCGACTACTACAGCCGTTATACAAAAATTGTTTTTTTCATGGCGTCGCTACAAATGAGTCGGGCCAAAGGCCGGGGTTTCTCGTACCTTGCGGAACGCTTCCACCCAGGCATAGGTGAACACAGCAGCAAAGCCCACAACAAGGCCGAGCAGGAGGAGGTTGCACCACTCCTGAGCTTGCCGTGAATTTACCCAGGCGTGGCCGTATCTCCCGCCCCCAAACCTGCCGCCTTGCTCGGCCTCCGCATGCGGTGCTGCTTCGTACTCGTCCTCTGGTGAAGACTCTCCGATCCCCCCCCCTTGCCCCTGTCGCTGCTCCTCCTGTGGCCGTCCCTCTCGGCTCTCGGCTACTCCTCCTCCCTCCCCACTCTCCATCGCAGAGACATCCTCATTGCTTCGACTCCGTGAGCCTAGCATAGCGTTCCTCACAGCAGCAGTTTCGGTAATCTCCGTCGTCGTGACCTGTGCTAATTCCCTAACAACGGACGTCAGCTAGTCGGTATAGCAGGGTGCGACAGCAGTACACAGAGGCGTGGCCGCAGCGTGCACCCACCAACGTTGATCCCTTGGTGGCGTGGTTACTACTGCCGGATGGGGTCTTCATGCTGCTTGACGATGGGATGCAGTTGCGGTGTGCGTATTCATCCGGAACACAGGGCATTCTGGATGCGGTGGTATCCAATAGCAGCTGGACACATCGCAGTTGTCTCTCAGAGACCGAGGGGATACGAGCGGACCATCAAGGTTGGATCTTTCCTTCCTCTGGAGATACAGCGTAGATATCCAAAAGCTCCATATCCGTGTGTCATTTTACCGCCGATCGAAGGGTCGTTTGAAAAAGTCCCGTGGGGCAAGGGGCAGGGGAATGGAAGCCGCAAGAAGAACAGCTGTTGGACCTGTATCATCTGTACGGTTCGAGGCTTTGCTCACTCACTCATGGACGTACTGCCTGACTCTTTTGTGTACCTGCTGCCGACTGTTTTTCCCGGAGCGTCCAGCGGGGCGGGAGAGAGGGCTGCACAGACCACTGCTTGTTGTTTGCATAAATAGTCCATGGTTGATGGGGTGGAAGAGCAGGCAACACTCACCCGCCGCGGACGCCCAGCTGCTGCAGCTGTCTAGGCGAGCGCGCGCAGGGGACGAGGCAAGTACAATGTACTATCATTATATGCTGTACTTTTTCGGGGGGGGGGGCAAACGTACGCAGTCTGCATCGTGCGGTGGACGAAAAAACCTAAAAAACATTTTGGCATCCCCCCGTAGAGCAACTGACGGCCCGCCCCACACCAGCCCCACAGGGAAGGTGGAGCAGTAGGGTCTTCTTCACGTCGAACTCTACTTCATCTGATAATAAATGACACGTACACAATGTAGATACAGTACGGTCTCCACAAGGCGCGGGATTGTACGCATCAACTAGACTACATAGACTAGACTAGACTACTAGCCTGTAGAAGGCACGACGTAGTACAGCAACTCTGTTGAACAGCAGCAGCAGCAGCAGCAGCAGCTTCCGTATGAATACAAACTACCTGGTCTAGACCTATACCGCTGTGACTACAGCGCTGCCTCTCTGTCTCATTGAGCGTTTTTAGGGGCTCGCCAACCACAGGTAAACTGCTGTAGCTTTGGTGTGCATGCTTGCCGCCCGTCTAGCAGGACGAGTCTAACAACTCGATTTTTGAATCAATGGTACAGCGGGGGCGTGGGATACCGGGGCGGGCAGGAGAGCGACTGGGTGTCTCGTCTAGGAGAGGATCTCGTGGCCTTCAACATGGGAGACGAAAAGGAAGGGGGGAAATGGAAAGAGAGCGCCAAGGACCCGGAGGTGTGGTACAACAAGGTCGAGGACGGGGCGGCATGGTTCATGAGGAAATGGTACAGGCAGGAGGCGGAAGCGTCCGCGAACCGCCAGCGCGCGAGGGAAGCAGAAGCAGAGAGGTTGGCCATCATAGGACCGAAGAGAAAGAGAGCCGGGCAAACGACGGTGGGGAGGAAGAAACGGCGACCGGGCACTGCTGTAGAGGCGAGTAGGGCGGCTGAGGCAGCACTTGTGGCGAACTATTGTTGTTTGTTGTTGTTGTTTCTCACATTAGCTCTACAGTCCACAAAAGATGGAGAGCCCGCGGTCTCAAAACCCGCAACATACGACGCCGCGAGAACACAAAAATTCAGAAAAAAAAATAAATAGGATAGAAACCTGCGGAATAGTCGTCGGCGATGTAGAGTTTGGGTTGAAATGAGGCCTCCTGCTACG